GTTGATGCGCATTGTACCAAAGAGATTGAAGAGTGATGAAGTGAAGAATGGACAGAAGGCAGTCTAGTTTAAATGGTTGAGATTGAGTGCTCGTGATAATTGGCGCGTAATTTTTTCAGCCAACGAAATTTGTGCCAAGGGTGACGGAGATATACCTCTATATCTACATATTTGATCAGTTAGTTATGATTTTGGAAGCATATGAGTACGAAGTTGCTCGATCACAGTTGTAGCTACAGTATTAGTGTATTAGTCTTTCGCTGAAATAGTCGGTAAATACCAATATCCCATATATATCATCAGTTATGGCAAACTTTCGAAATATCTCGCCATAATTCCAAAATATTGCACTATTTGATCAAGAAGTTGCCAAGTGCATCGAGTTGCGGAACAAGGTCAAGTCGGACACAGAACCAGGCTCGTGACGACTCATGTCGACAAGGAGCCCTTTATTTATTTACAAAATTCAAGTGATTTTATTACATTCAAATTGAATTTTCAGCGACGACCACTAGCCATGGGAGACAAGAAAGCACCACGAGCGGTACGGTTCGCGCGAGCAGTCTCAGTCGCGAATCGTTCTGCGCGACGCTGAAGGTACCGGCGCTGAGATGCAGCTCGCTTTGATGCATTCTCAGCTGCCATGTTCTTGTAGCGAGCCATGACAGCGCGATAGTGGTCATTGTCCTCGACGCGCAGCGGCAACAACGTCACGTGGAAATTGGTCAGCGCAAAGGTAAGTCGTTGAATGTCATCGTAGAGCTTTTCACCCCACACGAACGTGGCATAGGAGATCTTCCAAAGGGATGTCACACGACCAAAGAAGTTCTCGACGACAACGCGGTCAGACGACACTTCCTTGTTTCTGTCCATGTCATGTCGGTCTAACACACCACCGACAGGCTTCTTCTTAGGGTGAATGGCGCGCGCCAGGGGTGCAAGACCAATGTATCCATTCTCCACAAAGACAGCCCAAGAGGTAACATGTTCACGGAAGACCACGCCGTTGTCGTTGATGGCTAATGCATTGTCTGTTTTGGACAGCGCTTGCAAGTGGTCGTCAAGCCGGTTGCGGAACATAGTCAAGTCGAACACAAAGCCAGGCTCGTGACGACTCATGTCGACAAGGAGCCCTTCAGGTGAGACGGATGCATCAATCTTGAATGAGTACAGCTTATGCTTTCCACTGAAGTAGTGCTTCTGCTCCCCAAAGCGGCCGGCAGGACGATGCGCAGGTTGGAATTTAACGTCGGTCACGTACA